CAACGTTAATCTTCGATAGCAGAATCTGTAATTGTTATTAACTTTTGACTCCAGAAGCATCATGCAAAATGAGTAAATGCTAAACAAACTAAAGAACTAAATGCAACAATTTGTTTTTGGTTAAAAATGCTTAACATTTAAAACATTATTTGATCCAATCAACAATTTATAGTTTTATAATTGAAAACTAGTGATGTGATGTGTGTTTTTATTAATGGCATATTTTGTTTTTTAAAGCCAGTTTTCATAGCTATGGATTGTGACTATTTATAATATAATAGAAGCCAAAGAATTTTTCAAGCTTAAGTAAAAACCATAATATATATGTATAGAATTTCTTACAGATATGTTCAAGGGGCAATTAGGTGAGTGACCATTTTGATAAAGAAAATGAAGAATATAGCATACTAAAATCCAAAATGAAGAGAATAACCATAATAAGTAGTGAAAAGACAAAACACACCTTGGGTGTAAGACACACGCATAGAAGGAGGAAGGAAAAGAGAGGTGACGTCTGTGAGGAGAGAAAAAAAAACTTAATTGTTTATTCTTTTTAATATTTGTTTTTCTTCTACCCTATTTGATTTTTTACGTTATATTTAGTGTTTGAAAACATTAATTTAAATTTATAAATTTTATAGAAAAAAATCTGGTCTTTTTTTCTCTATATATTATGATTTGGATTTCTAAAAACCGACAACAACTTATAAAAATTAAAAATAAATTAATAAACTTGGTTTATATATAGCACAAAAGAAATAGTATAGAAGCAAATAAAATACTAATGATTAACATAGTGGTGATAGTGGTATCCACAATGCCTAATAAATCATGTTTATAACTAAAAATATGTTGTAATATACATAATCACACAAAAATAGGTATAATACTTTACTATCTCTTATATATTATACTTAAAATCAACTTTTAACTCTAAAATACTAAACCCTAAATCCAGAAGTCTAAACTCAAACCCAAAACATATATCTAAAAATGGTATTAATAAATATAAAATTAAAATAGTGAATTTATTTAGAAAAAATGAATAGAACATTTTAGTGTTCTATATAGTACGGTGACGATAACAAAGAATACAAAATACTGAATTAAACGCGTGACAAAAAAAGGAACACTATACCCTAAGTGATACAACATAGAGAACCCAAACGGCCAAGTTAAACGCACAAAAAAATATCATACCTTAAATATACAATATAGAAAACATAATTTGCCGAATTAAACACACGTCGTATAAAGGATGTTATACCTAAAAGATAACCAAAAATCTCTACTTGAACTCATGTGAAAATATCAACACAAAGAGCAAAAAACCAATTTTTCAAACAAAAAAAAATTATGAACTTAAATCAATATTTGTAAACATAAATATGATGTAAAAACCATTTTTTAAAAATATAAAATTATTTTCCATAAACTTACAATACTATTCTATTTGAGACAAATCTATTGAAAAATTGATTTTCTTCTTCTCGTCTTCTTTACTTCTCTTGTTCATTCTCATCCAATCAATGTTCATCTCTTTTTCTATATTGAATGCAATCGATCAATTATCAAATATCAAACTATGATTTGTGATATGACTTGGGTGGATTCAAGTTGGAAGAGGGTAAAACGAACAAATGTTTAATTAAGGAACAAATGTTAGATCAATTGGAATAGCTTATGAAAAAGATAATGGTAGATAAACATAAGAAATTGAATTAGAAAACAGCGTGATGATGGTGATGGCCGTGCTGTTGGGTGGTGGCGATTACAATTGTAGCGGCAGTGAGTAGTGACAATGGCGATGGCAATGGTCGTGGCGGTAGCGGTGGTTGCAATAACAGTGTAACGGTGGTGGAGATGATGGTGGTGGTGGTG